GTAAATCTATATTGAAGTTGACCAAGTCTTGAATTTGTTAATTAGAAGTTTGGCAAGATTGAAACTAGAAAGTTAAGGAGGTGTTCAACTAGTAACTTGCGCACATTCTCTACCAACCCCCTCTCCCACCCAAACCCCTATCACAAAGGAAATGAAATGAACAAAGATTTGAACAGTGCAGTAGTGTAACTTTGAAGTGTTATACAAATACTACTTACACTCTAATCACTAATTGAATTTTGAAGTTCTTATGCTAACGTCTTTTTTTTTTCCTTTTCAGATTATGCACTGGAGGAGAATTATTGGATAGGATACTTTCTAGGTATGCTCAAAATTTTTTTGTTCCCATGTTTGACAAAATTCTCTCGTGTTTCCAAGCTGCCCAGCTAATTATTAATCTCTTTTGACTTAGGGGCGGCAAATACTCAGAAGAAGATGCCAAAGTTGTCATGATACAGATTTTAAGTGTGGTTTCTTATTGTCATCTTCAAGGTGTGGTTCACCGTGACCTAAAACCAGAGGTATACTAGCTTCCTACTTTTCTTATTTTGTTGAAAACAAGAATTCTACCATTATTTTGTTCACCACTCCTTCTGACTGAGTATTCAAAAACCAATGTAGAAAGTTTGAGACTGGCTCATCTTGAATTGCCTCGTAGGAGTTTCCCCTGTTTTGAGAAAACACTAATTGAAATTAATTGATTGAAGTAATATGTTTCCTTGTAGAGACAACCTTTGTAGTATGGCCTAAATCTGGATGATAAATTGCAATTGCTACTGAAATTTCAATACTCGATCTAGGTCTTAGTAATCGGGTGTCATTTATATTGTACAACTATTTTTCTTTTCTGGGTCGAAAAGCTAGTCCAGCTGATTTTTCGTGCTCCCATGACCATTTGAGTACAAAAAAATTAGCCCTTTCTCTTATCTGCTTCCATTGATAGTTTTTTTTTTCCTTCTGTTGACACATTTTTCTAAATTTTGCTTCAGAATTTTCTCTTTTCTTCGAAAGAAGATCACTCTCCTCTGAAGGCCATTGACTTTGGGCTCTCTGATTATGTAAAGCCAGGTTAAGCATATTGCTAGATATTTCTGTTTTCTGCTTCTTACATACTAAACCTCAATCCCTTCTTCTGTCACAAATGTAATATATATGATTAGGCTCCATACAGTTCAACACACTTAGTATCACTATTTCGGTAGGATTATATTTTGACTGGTAGATGTTTTGGCAGATGAGAGGCTGAATGATATTGTTGGAAGTGCTTACTATGTGGCGCCTGAAGTCTTGCATAGATCGTATGGAACAGAAGCCGACATGTGGAGTATTGGTGTGATTGCTTATATACTACTTTGTGGAAGCAGACCCTTCTGGGCTCGGACAGAGTCTGGAATATTCCGAGCTGTCCTAAAGGCTGAACCGAGCTTTGATGAAGCCCCATGGCCTTCATTATCTTCTGACTCAATAGATTTTGTAAAGAAATTATTGAACAAGGATTACCGTAGAAGAATAACAGCAGCTCAGGCACTCAGTAAGTAGTTAGACGCTAGACACCTTCAAAAAGATTCTGCGCATATTTTCTTGACTTTTTCATCATGTTTGGATATGCTACATTTTTCCTTTTCTTAGTTTAAAAAAATGTTGGCTCTTTTAAAGTATCTTTGATTTCCTGTCAAAATAAGTCACTTAGTTTCAACTTTGACCTATAAAAAAATTACTTTTGTTAAAAGTTACATATTTCCTTGGAAGTAAATTACTTATAAGTGAACTTTTTAAGCTTAGCAAATATGCTCCTGACCCATTTCCTGATCTCCCCAAGAAAATCTATGGGAACTGCCTTGTTTAGTGTGGTTTCATAATATTCTAATGCATATGTTCAATTGTCTTGTATAGGTCATCCATGGCTGGCTGGACACCAAGATGTGAAGATACCTCTGGATATGCTAACATATAAGCTTGTTAAAGCTTATATATGTTCTTCGTCTCTGAGAAGATCTGCCTTAGCGGTAGGTATATTTGGCTGATAGTACTAGTCCAAAACCATGAATAACACTATTATGAATTATTTAGCTACTAAATGCTGATTTAATGTGTTACATGGTATCATTTAATGAAATTAAGCATAAAATTCTTTTTTGGGAACTAAACTGTATCTTGCAATGCTAAATTCGTTTTTAAATTACCTTAAAGCTGCGACGTGAATCTGAGAAGCTTATTGCGAATATTGCCAAATGTACAACTATACAAACATGATGATTATGATGTAAAGCGAGGATAATATGTCGCAGTTTCATTATTCTTATATACTTAGATGAGCTTAACTTATTCTGCTAACCAAACTCATTTTCATTCAATATTAATCCGACTACAAAAAAAAACTACTCTGCTTTGAAACAGGCTCTTGCAAAAACATTGACAATACCGCAGCTAGCGTATCTCCGAGAGCAGTTCATATTAGTAGCACCTAACAAAAGCGGATTTATATCCTTGCATAATTTGAAAACGGTCAGCTCTTTTCCTCTCTCTTCTTACCCCAACCCTGAAAAAGCCTTCGATGCTATGCTGTTTTTATCTTCTACATTGCTTTTATCGAATGTATTGCTGTCAGCAGGCAGTGGCAAAGAACTCCACTGATGCGATGAAGGATTCACGGGTTCTAGATTATGTCAATGTGGTAAAACTTCCAGTAACTTCTTTCTTAAAATTTTTGATTCTTAGTTTAGATCTATTAATGTTCTGTGTCATTACTTAGTCTTACTACCACAATAGTGATGATAATTGCTTAATGCATTTTCACGTGTAATGTAGGTGAGTTCTCTTCAATACAAAAAATTTGACTTCGAAGAATTCTGTGCAGCAGCAATAAGCGTACATCAGCTCGAAGGAATGGAAAGCTGGGAGCAACACGCATGCCGTGCCTACGAGTTTTTTGAGAAGGATGGTAACCGGCCCATTATGATTGAAGAACTGGCTTCGGTCTCTCTCTCTCTCTCTCTCTGTGTGTGTGTGTGTGTGTGGATATACACATGGGTATAACATCACTATAACAGCCATGGCGATGCTGTTAAAGCTATATGGAAATGAGACATGAATAAGAGCCTAATAAACAGTTATTTGGCTACCCTACGACGTGTTTCTTTTTTCTTTCTATTTAACACCCTTCACTGGATTAGAATTTCTTTATATTAACACGGCATTGGGTGACCCATTGAGGTAAATTCGTCAGTTTTATTGATTACAACTATTATGGGAGGGCAGGGATATTTACAAAATCTTAGTAGAGCTCTCTCAAATTTATTAAAAATCTTGCAGACATTGAAATGTTAGTTTAAAATATATCAGAAGATTGTTTCTCTTGGAGATAGATTCATGAAATTGTTGGTGAACAATACTCATTCATCTACATTTTGAACAGGAACTTGGACTTAGTCCATCTGTACCAATCCATGTAGTTCTACAGGACTGGATAAGACACTCTGATGGTTGCCTCAGCTTCTTGGGGTTCGTCAGACTTCTGCACGGAGTTTCTTCTCGGGCGGCTCATAAGGCCTGAAAACATGTTGTAGCTGTACATTCGTTGTTAAATGCGAGTCATAGTCCTGGACTCCATCGTGTGAAGCGAATTGTTGTTTTACCTGTCAAGGTGGCTTTGAAGAAGCGCGTGAAGTACAACTTAATTCCATAGAAGATTGCTGTACTTCTTAAGCCTCGGAAATTAAGAAGATTGTACGGTTGAGAGCAGATAGCAAAATGTATTTAGGGCAGAAAACAACTTAGAGCCGAAGTGAGTTTTGTGTCTTTGATGCACTCAAGTTTCTGAATAATTATGAATGATTTTAATTGTGAATTGCATGGAAATATGGTATTCTTTGTTCAATGGAATTACAAACTTTTTGCTCAAATCGGGTTTAATCCGTTTTAGATCTACTTACCGAATCTCTTATGCCTGCTTATGATATTCATCCGTGCTCGAGTTGGGTACAATAATTGCAACAAGTTTGTTATATGTACATAATGATTTGTACATATATGATCTGTTTAGATATAACTCAGAGTTTTTTCAATTGAAAAAATGAAAAATAAAAACCTCACTTTCTTTTTGACATTTTATCTGTATATAAATTATTATATAACTTCGTTATGTCTTAATAGCATTACTCTAATTGTAAAGGTTGCATTTCACTTAAAATCTTCTCTTTTAAGAGTTTGCGGTTCACAAGGAGTTTACTCGTGATGGTTTTCTTTTAGAATTCATCCAAGCATATGGTTCAATCTAAATACATATATAAACTCACCTTTGAGTAATTCTTTTTATCTATATACCCGTATACGTTTTTCCCCCCTTACTTAAAGCAAAAAGAATTACTTAAAATAAAATTAACTATTATTATTATTATTTTTTTGTCAAAATAAATAATTTCAATTTCAACCAAGGATTCATCCATAAAAGGCGTAAGGATAATTATATTCACCACAATTTTTATTTCTTGCACCACATTTTGATTATACTTAAAAGTTCTCAAACTTTAATCATTATATCATATATATTCCTAACAATTTATCATGACATTCTTATCCTCGAACTTTCCATTAGTTAACACATTTTGTTTTTAATAGCAGTTTATGTCCAAAATGTTCGTTGAAACAACTTATTTTTTTCATCATATTTTGAAAAGAAAAGTACGAAAAAATAATTTTCTCTCATTTCAAAGCATGAAAACAAAATATTTTGACATGAATCATTGTCAAGGACAAGATATACTAATTAATGGAAGGTTGAAGATAAGAATTCAACGAAAAAAATTAAGAAAATAATTGCTATGACGAGCAAAGATTGGGGAGCTTGACAGTAATTAAAATGTGGTGTAAGTGTAACAAATAAAAACTGTAGTGCTAATATAACCACCAAGATAAACTATAATAATTAATAAAAGACAGATCTCTTTTCTGAACTGTCTTCTATTTTACCCTATTTTGTATTGTGCCCCCTACTCATGCATTCACATTCTGTTCTTCATCTAATCGTAATGGAAGGTGAAGAAAATCTATTCAAACATCTTCTACTAGAAAACGATGATGATTTGGCAGAAGAAATAAAAAATATTACTGGGTATGAATTCAAAGATCAACATCTATTAGTACAAGCCTTTACTCATCATTCTTACGTAGAAAATTGCGAATCATCGTACGAGAGGCTTGAATACGTTGGTGATTCTGTACTCAATCTCATGGTTGCTGAAGAACACTATCTTTTGTACCCGGATTTACAACCCGGCGATTTGACCCGATTACGAGCTGCCAATGTTGACACAGAGAAGCTTGCACGAGCGGCTTTGAAACACCAGTTGCACAAATTTCTACGCCATAATAAACCTATACTTGCTGGACAAGTAACTGGGATCTATTCTTATTTGTTTTTTAACATTATTTATACATTATTTGAAAACTAATTTTGGTGTTACAGATTAAGGAATTTGAGGAAGCAGTCGTGAAATATCCTTTGCATTCATGGGGACTAATTGATGTGCCAAAAGCTCTTGCAGACATTGTCGAATCTTTCATCGGGGCAATATATATCGACTCCAACAGATCGAAGGACTTAACCAACAAGGTACAAATTTGACAAGTATTTAGTTGTTATATGATAAACGTCGACTTGTAATGTCGATTTTGTCATAATTTGTCTTATAAGGAAATCGTCATTAGGATTTTGTATCATCGTTAAAAATAGAGAAGGGTTAGAGAAGATTTTCATTATGTTGAATTATTATAGCAGCAGAAGATGACGTAGTGTCACGTTGAGAAGAATTTATTTTTTTTGTGATTTTATTGCTCTTGGTGGTAGAATTAGGATTTCTAATTCTCAACAAAACCTTCATGCAATCGCGTTGCAGGTATTGAGGTTTAGGGTTTCTTCTTGGTACGAGTAGCTTAATTCCTTAGATATTGAATTTTTTTTCTCGTAGTTAGGCGACGACCAAAGTGGGATTTTACGCCATTGACAGTAAAGCTAAACTGGATGCTTCATTAATTGCTATATTTTTGAATCTTGAAATAACTTGGATTAAGGTTTGTGTAGCATTTTGTGCTGATGGCAGATAGCAAAGGATTTGTTACGGCCAATGATCACTCCAGAATCGATCCAGATGCATCCAGTAACAATGCTATATGAAATATGCCAAAACAAAGGTTGGAAAGTTCACATAAAAGATATGTGGAGTAAAAAAACTGGTGAAATTCAAGTTTTTGTGGATGGAAAATTTGCTGGAGAGGGAAGGTACGAAGGCAAGAAATTTATTGCCGTTAATAGAGCAGCACACGATGCAAACCAGCAGATTGTAAGAAGGCTTGCTCAAGAAAATACACAGTGCACATCCTCTCCAAGTTGCCACCTCTAGACGACTCTTTGTTAAGGTTCTTGAATAGCAATTGAATCTAATTAATATGTCACACTTGTATACGCAATATAAGTCTAGACGACTCTAAAAGTTGTGTTTCCTCCTTAAACTGGCTGCATTCTTCTGTACTTTGAAATGGACAACATAACCATGATCTTGTCGTCATTAATTGCTAATGAAGGTGTTTCGTTCTCACTGATAGTTGTTCGTTAAAATTCCGCAGGCGTACGGGTTCGTTGTACAAGTAATAATTGTGATGAAAGAGTTATTGTCCCACAGGGAATAATGTCTAATTCCAGTGTATTCGATATAATTAAATTCGTGAGATTAACTAAACGTTGACGGTTGTTTGAATAGCTAATTAAGTTCTATAACTAAAAATTTGCAAAATTTATGAGAATTTGTTTTAGAATTCAGATGAGTGAATGTATTGGATTTCCGACGCCACTGATCAACTCTTGGTTCTAATTCTCAACCTATGATAATTATCTCAACTCATTCAATTGTAACGATCAATAATTCCACATTTATTTATTATTCTTTCCCAAGATATAATAAACCTATGATTACCACGAAACGATTTTATTCCTAGTCCGAATTCATAGGGCAAACACGCATTGATGTATAGGATTATCACACATGATCGCACACATCACAAATATTATTCCTAACATTCATTGTCCATGCGTTCCAATAACAGTGTTCTACCTACCGTGAGTTTTCCAACACTATGAATAAGCAACTTATTGTCCTAATGGTGTGCAAACATTAAAACAATATAGATATGCATATTAAAGAAATCACAACACAAGAATTAAGATAAAAACATAAGGTTTTGAATTAAAAACTAGGAATCAATCAGTTTTGTCATCCATCCAATACAAAGATGTCTAGCCTAGCATATTAATGTATGAAAAATAGGAAAAATAAAGGAACGACATCACCCAAATCATTAAAGTATGAAAAGAATATGAAATCCTCCACTTTATGCCTTCAATTCCGGATCCAAGTGATGAAGTCTTGTTCTTCAATGCATATCCCGCTCTGTTTTCCTCTTTGTCGGCTTCCAATATGATAAAAATTAGGTTCCCCGTATTTTTGTCGACTTTTGGTATAAATATCGTGCAAAGAATTATAAACCAAAACTTTCCAAAACAAAATAAGGAAACAGATTTTTTTGTCGGAATTAAACCATGCATACGCATAGTATCATCAATTTAGTTTCGAAAGTTCAATTTTTCAATCGTGCGTACACACGACCTGCAAGCCTATGCGTACGCACAGCTCAACTATTTTAGGGGCCAATTTGCAATTTGGTCCCTAAACTTTCTGAAGTGTGTGTTTTGGTCATTTTCCAAATTTTTTTTGTCCCATTAGCTTCTCTTCAACTCCAATTGACTATTGGTGTTCTCAACTCATCGTTATTTGATCAAATTCAACTTTTAGATTATTGCATTCTAGTCCCCAAACTTTACCTTGATGTAATTGAGTTGTTTTTCCTGCTTACTTTCTTTATTCTCGTATTTTCCATTGATTGTAACCTACACACAATATATAAATAGGATTAAGCCATATTCCATCAAATTCTTTAACAAATACTCAATTTTAATGGCCTAAATAAGTGTATAAAATACACTTATCAAACACTTCCAAACTTGAACATTTGTTTGCCCTCAAACAATTTATAGCCCGGTCTAATTAAACTTTGGTTAGATGGTATGCTGTTAGTCTCAGGATTGGATAATTGTGTCATTACTTTGAAAAGTGTCCAAATTATACATTTGAAATTAATTTTCCCTTAATCAATGTGAAACTTAAAGTGTGTGTGTGAATATTCATGTAAACATCATAACGCTAATAACTGGTTTGATTCCCAACTTGCCGTAGTCAATTATTTCCTTTCCTCACTCGTAAGATACATACCCCCAAACTTATGATTTTTACTCACTTTTCCCGAGGTATGCGCTAAGGTTGATTTTTAGCTAATTCTAATCCTTACCCTCTCTCATTTAGATAAATCGTAACTAATATAGATTCCCATCTCGATTCATAAGGATTCTCCCATATTTTTTATTATTTCAGCTTCTAAGACTCAATTGAGCTCATGACCCATTGTCAAAGGTACAAGTCCCTAGAATAGTTGTTCGAGGCTTAATCTTGGCACTTGGTGCGTTTTCTGTTTCATGCACCTGCTCATTCCCAAATATATATATATATATATTTCTCTCCATTAAACGACTAACTGACCCCTATAGCAAGTTTTCAGTCAGTGACTCCCAAGTCAGATGACCATAGGGTATCAGGTTTTAAGGACCCTTGCAAGCTTAATTGCTCGATTCAAAAAGGCTCCGAAGAGAAGTTCTTTTTACTTCTTTTAATTGCTAAGATTAGTGCAATGCCCCTTATTAAACACCTATTCTCAAAATCGACCCCTAACTCGAGGTTTTCGTCTCAATTTGTCGTATTGGCTTTAGATAATCCACACAATCATTGCACACATGGAATCCCTACGTATCTCAATGTTTCTCTATACTAGTTTAATCATTTCCAAATTCTCCTAAAAGAGGTTTTATGATCTTATTTATTTGTGTTGGTTTGGGTTTGAATCAACTATGTTTTACTTTCTCCTTATACAAACCAAGTCATCAACTCATAATGCAGAACATGAATATCATGCTCAATAAAGATCAAGTTTCACATCAACAAGTGTCAATTAACTCAACGTATAATTCTTCCACAGTTCTTAGTTAATTACACAGTTCCAATAAATGCATCATTTTCAGCAAGGCCATCCAACCCACACAAGCACACAAAAGTTAAAAACAACACACAACAGTTATTTATTTATTATTATTATTATTATTATTTAAGATAAAACATACCAATCATGCGAAATCATGCGAAAGGAAGTAAACGTGAAGATAAAAGATTAAATCACCCCCAAACTTAATCGATGCATTTTCCTCAATGTACCACAATAAGGAATAAAATGCAAAAAGAAGGATGAGAAAGGAACTGAGAACTCCCATGGTCAATCGGAAGGTGGCGGTGGAGGTAGACGGGAAATAGTCTCCTTCATCAAAGTAGATTGCTGGCCCATCTCGATTTGCATATTACGGACCATGTCGTATGTCTGATCAGCCCAAAATTGCATGCCATCCATCATTCCAGTATAACGGTCCAACCTATCAATTAGCCTATTAGTACTTCGACGTAAATCAGAGACATCTTCTTGAGTGCTGCTCGCGTTGGCTCGTACAATCCCAATATCAGTTTGCATATCTTGTACCCGTAAATCTAGGGTGGTAAATGATTGCTGCAACTGTTGAACATCCCTACTCAACCCGATCATCGTCGCACACATCTGTCGCAGTACGGGGGTATCAGCTAGTGGCTCATGTTGCGGGTCCGGGTGGATGTCAACGTCATCCTCATGGCCTGCCTCGTCCTGGTTATCTTGTCGTCCTTGTTTGTACTGATTGACTTTTCTCCAAGAGTTTTGGGTGGAGAGAATGTTGATTGGGGCAGCAGGACGTATTGCCTGCTCAGCTGGTAGGAGCTACACTCCGTAAGCCCTGTATATTCCACAGATAAGGCTTGAAAATATAAGTGTGTTTCGTGGGTCTACTTCAGCAGCACGAGCACAAATCAGATTATAGATGTGAGTGCCCAGGTCAAATTTGAGCCCTCTAGCTAGATGGTAGAGCAAAGCAGCTTTAGTGTGATCGAACTTGTAACGATGCTTGGAGGGATCAACATTGTGGCAAACAAACATCATCAGAACCATGAGGGACTCAGTTAAATTACTGTATAAAAAATCCGATCAATGGAGTGGCTAGGCATCTGCTCTTCCATATAAAACCTATGAAAACTCTGGCCAATTTTGCTCTAGTGGTATCGGGATGATTCCTTCTCGATTCAATTCAAGATATCATCAATGACCTCAGGTGTGAACATAAACCATTTATCCCGCACCCAGGTTCGGTGCTGTGATCGGTCCCATGCTCGTAGATGGAGAAGTTGAAATTTGTGTAGAACTCTTGAACAAGTGTAGGATAAATAGCAAATGGTTTAACTATCACCTTTTCCCAGCCTGTACGATGGATTAATGTATCAATTTCAAACCCCGGGAAATCTTCCAAAACCACTTCCCGCTCTGGTAAAACAGTCCATTTGGTGACTACTTGCTCAAATCGAAGCTTATGCTTTGGGCTTAGGAATCTTCGCACGCCGCCTTCATCGCGGCCCAGGTTGGACAAAGAAGAGTCTTTGCCTTTCCCCTTTGAAGTGGATGGAGCGTCGTGTGTGCGTTTGGGAGGCATTCTTGCAAAAGGCACAAAATAAGCAAATGAGATAGATGAACGGGGTAATTGTTATCAAGAGAATACCATAAGTACCAAACGAAGAGCAAAGTGTAGTGCTATGTGTGGGGAAGAACACGGAAGGGCGGTGGAAGGAGTGGTAAGTACAACGTGTAGTTTCCCTCCAATTTCAAGTTATACAATAGAGTGGATGCAAGCAAGTATAAGGTGTCGTTAAATTGAGGAAAGCCCAAGTGTTGTGCAACAATTCAAGCTAAAATGTAAACCAATGAGTCTTTGGGACAATTAAACAAACACTTTGTGGGTAATGTTGTAGCAAGAATGTCCATATGCCTATGTTGTTATGAATCTACCTATGTTAACATCAAATTGAACAAAATCCACCATCTACCTAAGCCCAACCTCCACAATAATAATAAAAATTCATCAAAATGCACGAAAATTGGAAAAAAAATTGCAACCCGCGAGTGTTCAAAGTGAAGTATATTACCTTCGAGTTCTTGATAATTGGGGGTGTTTGAGTGGATGATGTTGATGTACAAGGTACTCTAATGTGACCAATGTGTAATGCCCAAGTGAAGGGATGAAGAAATTAGGGAGACGATGCGCTGGTTTGTGGAGAAATAGAGGTATGCTCGTGTGTGGGTGAAGAGTGGATTTGTAGGGACTATGTGTGTGGGTGAGGGATTTAAACCCTCACCCGACCAGGCTGTTCGTACGCATGGCTTGGCTCGTGCGTACGCACAGCCAAAGAGGTTTGGCCTCGGGCGGCCAATCTACCAATCGTGCGTACACATGGTTAACTATTTTTTTTTAATAACTGACTCTTCATACCCACCCCTGACTGAATTCTTTACATAATACAGTTTAGAAGTATGCACAACGATTATGACACAGAAGTTCAACGCCAATCTTGAAAGGTTTGTTTTGGTTTCAACTGAACCCGACCACTCGTGTTCCACTCCCAAACTAATACATTTACCACTATGATCGAAAAATGTGCAATTGATGCGGGAATCAATAGATTATAAGTAAGTCATTCTTGTATGCAAAAGTACACGTTTCAGCCTCGATGACTGTAACATCTCATTTTTTTATCTAGATATTCGTGGTGCCCTCCAATTGCATGTCTGGAATGATTGAACTCCCCTAAACTTGTGTAAAACAAATATGAAATTGTGTGACTTGTGCATTGACTCAACAACTAAGCAATGAATGGATGACACCTAATCTATCGAACACACCCAAACAATAAAGAAACATATAAAAAAATCCTAATCTAATGCAACAAAGCGGAATAAATAAAAGAGGAGAGAATTGGGTTGCCTCCCAATAAGCGTTATTTTTATAGTCTATAGCTCGACTTTGTTGCTCAAGCTACTCTGCAATATTAAGAGGTACGGTCGTCTTCTCATTGGAGTAGTGACCTCCCCAATAGGCGTTCAACCGTTGTCCATTCACTTTAAATCTTCTCTGTTCATCCTGAGATACTACTTCTACAGCACCATGTGGAAGCACAGCTACTACTGTGAAAGGACCTGACCACCTAGATTTTAGCTTTCCAGGAAAGAGTTTGAGACGTGAATTGAACATCAATACTTGCTGGCCTACTTCAAAATCCTTCTCTCTTATATGTCTGTCATGCCATCTCTTGGTTTTCTCCTTGTAAATTTTTGCATTCTCATATGAATCCAAACGAAATTCCTCTAGCTCATGGAGTTGTAAAACCCTATTTTCTCCTGCCGCCCTCATATTGAAATTGAACAAATGAGTTGCCCAATATGCCTTATGCTCTAACTCAACGGGTGATGACAGGCGTTTCCAAACACCAGTCGATATGGAGACACGCCAATTGGAGTCTTCAACGCTGTTCAATAAGCCCAAAGTATATCGTCTAGTTTCTTAGCACAGTCCTTGCGGGAAGCATTGACTGTAGCTTCGAGAATCTTCTTTAACTCCCTATTGGAGATTTTCACTTGCCCGCTAGTTTGAGGATGGTACGGAGTTGAGACACGGTGTTTTACTCCATATTTGGCCAACAACGATGCAAATAATCGATTATAGAAATGCTTTCCACAATCACTAATGATTGCCCTTGTAGTGCTGTATCGAGTGAAAATGTTCTTCTTCATGAATTGAGTTACCACTCGCCCGTCGTTAGTTGGCAAAGCTACAGCTTCAACCCACTTAGACACGTAGTTCACTGCCACTAGTATGTATTGTTGACCGTAGGAGGGAGGGAATGGTCCCATGAAATCAATGCCCCAAACGTCGAAAATTTCAACTTTCAAAATGTTGTTTAAAGGCATCTCGTTCTTTCTTGAGATATTTCCAGTCCTTTAACACTTGTCACAATGTTTCACCATATAATGTACGTCCTTGAACAACATAGGCCAATAGAAACCCGATTGTAGTACCTTTGCTGCTGTCTTGGTTGCTGCGAAGTGGCCCCCATATGGTGCAGAGTGATATGACTCTAACACTTGATGTTGCTCTACCTCTGGTACACAACGGCGTATGATTTGATCTGGACCCCTTCTATAAAGAATTGGATCATCCCAAAAGTAGTGTTTTAGGTCACTGAAGAATTTCTTCTTTTGGTGACTGGAGTAATCTAGTGGGATGATCAAGCGGACCAAATAATTGACATAATCGGCGTACCATGGTGTAGTGATAATTTGAAAAAGCATTTCATTAGGAAAAACTTCATTGATCTCCACTGTAGGGTTTGACTCACGCGATTCGAGGCGAGAAAGGTGATCTGCCACAACATTCTCACTCCCCTTTTTATCTCTGATCTCCAAATCAAACTTTTGCAATAAGAGTATCCATCGAATAAGCCTCGACTTTGCATCCTTCTTGCTTAGTAGATATTTTAAGGCTGAATGATCCGTATAGACTATCACTTTTGACCCAATCAAGTATAATCTAAATTTGTCAATGGCGAACACTACTGCCAAAAGCTCTTTCTCTGTAGTCGCATAATTCATTTGAGCTTCATCCAAAGTCTTACTGGCATAGTGAATAACATGAGAACTCTTTTCCTTTCGTTGACCCAACACCATCCCCACTGCGTGATCACTGGCATCACACATAAGTTCGAAAGGATAATTCCAATCTAGGGAAGCCAATACTGGAGCAGAAACCAATTTTTCTTTTAAGATGTTGAAAGCTGTTAAGCACTCCTCAGAAAAGTGAAATGGGGCCCCTTTTTCCAGTAGATTGCATAATGGCTTCGAGATTTTGGAAAAATCTTTGATGAAACGACGGTAGAACTAAGCGTGACCCAAGAAACTTCTAACTCCCTTAACTGTTATCGGCGGTGGTAGTTTTTCGATGACTTATATCTTAACTCTATCAACCTCAATACCCCGTGCTGAAATCAAATGCCCTAACACAATCCCTTCCTGAACCATGAAATGACATTTTTTTCCAATTTAATACAAGGTTTGTGTCTTCACATCTCTGCAGCACTTTTTCCAAGTGTTCAAGGCACTCCTTAAATGATTTTCCAAACACTGAGAAATCATCCATAAACACATCAATAATATATCCCACAATGTCTGAGAAAATTGACATCATACAGCGCTGAAAGGTGGCTGGAGCATTGCAAAGGTCGAAGGGCATCCTCCTATAAGCAAAAGTGTCATAAGAGCATGTAAAGGTTGTCTTCTCTTGATTATTAGGTGCTATAGGAATCTGATTGTACCCCGAATAACCATCTAAGAAACAGTAGTAGGCATGTCCAGCGAGTCTCTCCAACATCTGGTCGATGAAAGGGAGGGAAAAGTGATCTTTTCTAGTGGCGTTGTTGAGATTGTAATAATCAATGCAGACTCTCCAACCAGTGACTGTCCGTGTAGGGATGAGCTCGTTATTTTCATTTGGGACTACCGTGATTCCTCCTTTTTTCGGCACTACTTGTACTGGACTGACCCAATGGCTGTCTGATATGGGATAGATTATCCCTGCATCCAAAAGCTTTAATACTTCTTTTCTTACCACTTCCTGCATATTCGGGTTTAATCTGCGTTGATGCTCAACTGAAGCTTTGTAATCATCTTCCATCAATATCTTGTGCATGCAAAGCGAAGGGCTGCTTCCTTTTATGTTTGATATCGTCCATCCTAATGCTATCTTGTGCTCTCGAAGTACTCTTAGCAGCTGATCTTCCTCTGATTCTGTAAGATTGTTCGAGATAATTACTAGGAGCAAATTCTTTTCCCCCAGATACGCGTAGCGTAGATGAATGGGCAACTGTTTGAGTTCAAGAGTTGGAGCTTGCTGTATAGATGGTAAAGGTTTTGTGGGCCTTTCGCCGAGCTCCAAACATGGCTGCTTGAAAATTGGTGGTATGGCTGCCAAATAACGTGCACACTCTTCTGCTTCCTTTTTTTTCGATGGCAATTCCTAAGAATGTACTAAGCAAGCCTCAAGCGGATCTTGAGGGTGATCAAGTTTAAATGCCTATGACACTGCTTCCCTTATTATGTCAATCTGCATGGAAGAATCTGGTTCATTCTGAAATTTGAAGGCTCTAAACACGTTGATTGTCAGTTCCTCTTCATCTAACCTCAATATTAACTGACCCTTTTACACATCTATCAGAGCCCTTCCCGTAGCCAAAAATGGGCGACCCAATATGAGGGGGACATCTCAATCTTCTTCCATATCCAGAATAATGAAGTCCACTGGGAAGATAAACTTATCGACATTGACCAAAATATCTTCACAAATATCTCGCGGGTGCTTGATTGACCTATCGGCTAACTGCAGTGAAATTGTAGTCGCTTTTGCTTCCCCCAACCCTAGTTTCTTGAAAAGAGATAAGGGCATTAAATTGATGCTAGCTCCTAAATCACATAATACCTTATCTATTTACAAATTACCAATATTACAAGGAATAGTAAAACTCCCTGGGTCTTTTAGTTTCGGTGGTAATTTGTGTTGGAGAATTGCGCTGCACTCTTCAGTAAGCATGACCATTTCATTGTCTTCTAACTTCCTCTTGTTTGATAAGATGTCTTTCATAAACTTGGCATAGTTGGGCATTTGAGCTAGGGCTTCAGCGAACGGTATGTTAATGTGTAGCTTCTTAAATACATCCAAAAATTTCAGAAACTGCTTATCTAGTTTGTGTTTTTGCAGTCTCTGTGGAAATGATATTGGAGGCACATATGCTTAGACAGGAGTGCTTGTCTTAACTCGTGGACTACCCGATGACTCGATTTGATTTTCTTTTATTGTTTTGTCTAATTCATCAACTTGCTCTTCACCCGTTGTAGGTGTCTTTTCTGTGATAGTTGCTGGCCGCTTTACATGTATTTCTCGTAGTTGGATTCCACTCGGTGTAGTTATGGCTTTGACCTGCTCCTTAGTGTTTGTCTCGGTGTTGTTAGGTAACGTCCCTTGAGCTCTACCTGATAATGCAGCTGCAATTTGTCCCACCTGTTGTTCCAAGTTCTTGATTGAGGCCTATTGATTTTGAAAGTTGGTCTCAATTTTAGTAATGTATTGAGCTAGCAAATCTTCTAAAGATGGTTTCTTTCCTTGCTGTTGTTGCTGCTTTTGGAACCCCAGTGGTTTATTCTGATTGTTACCTCCTTGTCCTTTTCCCTGATTGCTTGACCACGAAAAGTTTGGATGATTTCTCCAACCTGGATTAAATGTGTTGGAGAAGGGACTATTTTGCTATCTCTGAAAGTTCTGCACATAGTTTACTTCTTCAGACTGGTTAACATATATAGACGCCAGAGGGCAGTGCGTAGTATTATGATCAGCTCCGCAACCTTCACAGACCGATGGAGATTGATGTACCATATTAACTGACCGAGATAGATTATCCATTTTCATTGTAAGAACTTCCATTTGTGCAGCCAGCGCTGTTACTGCATCTAATTATGCAGTCCTGCTGTCTTCCTTGGAGTTTCCCTATCGGTTGGCCACATCGATTGGTTCTCAACTATCCTTTCATACAAGTCATATGCCTCGTCCACATCAAGTTTCATCACCGATCCTCCTGCAGAAGCATCTATCATATTTCTGAATTCTTGTTTTAGACCGTAGTAAAATAGATATTGCCGAGCCTTTTTAGGGATGTCAAGGCTGGGGCATTTCTTGAAAAAAATCTTGAATCTCTCCCATGTCTCTGGATAGCTTTCGAGCTCTTTCTACTTGAAAGTATGGACTTCATTCTTGACTCGATGAACTCAAGAAGGTGGAAAAAATTTCATCGTAAATTTTTGAACCATTGAATGTTCCCAAGTGGTAAACAAAGAAACCATTCCCTTACAGTGTCCTTCAAGGTATGAGGGAATAATCTCATTCGAAATGCATCTGTTGATATTCCTTCGTGACTGATTACCTCACACAGCATAAGAAATGCCGAAATATGTTCATGATGATTCTCTGTGGCTTTTCCAAAGAACTTGATGTCTTGGTGATTTTGGAACACATTGATGACATCTGGTCTAAAGTGGAAATTAGGTTGTCCAAGGGGAGGATATACTACAGCTGGTTGCACTGGTGCAGGGATTGGATTGACGTAATCTCCAACTAAGACAGGGGCTTCGTTGTGGATAGCTTCTCGGTTGATTTGGTTGTGGTATTTGCTCGTGAAGCTGGACCTGATGTTGTGGTTGATTTTAGTTATCGGTCATTCTCCTTGCTTGACGTTGAACTCGTCTACGATTTCTAAATGTTCTTTCTATTTCGCGATCTATTGGGAAGAGATCTGGTTTCTCAGGATTTTGCATAAACTAATGTCGTTTAAAAAGTGTCGAGACACAAAAGAACTAAGCGGTATAATGGTAACCTAAAAGCAACTACTAAAAATGAAATAAGAATAAAAATAAACGAATTTAAAATATCTAATAACTAAAATTAACACCGTTACTCCCCGGCAACGGCGCCAAAAACTTGTTCATCAAAATTTCGCAAGCGTACGAGTTCGTTGTACAAGTAATAATTGTGATGAAAGAGTTATCGTCCCACAGAGAATAAGGTCTAATTCCAGTGTATTCGATATAATTAAATTTGTGTGATTAACTAAAAGTTGATATTTGTTTGAATAGCTAATTAAGTTCTATAACTAAAAATTGCAAAATTAATGAGAATTTGTTTTAAAATTCAGATGAGTGAATGTATTAGATTTCTGACGCCACTGATCACTCTTTTAGTTCTAATTCTCGACCTATGACAATTATCTCAACTCATGCAATTGTGACGATCGATAATTTCACATTTATTTATTATTCTTTCTCAAGATATAATAAATCTATGATTACCACGAAACGATCCTAGTCCGAATTCATATGGCAAATACGCATTGATGTATAGAATTATCACACATGATCGAACACGTCACAAATATTATTCCTAACATTCATTGTCCATGCGTTCCAATAACAGTGTTCTACCTACCGTGAGTTTTCTAACACTACGAATAAGCAACTTATTGTCCTAATAGTGCGCAAACATTAAAACAATCTGGATATGCATATTAAAGAAATCACAACGCAAGAATTAAGATAAAAACATAAGGTCTTGAATTAAAAATTAGGAGTCAATCAATTTTGTCATCCATCCAATACAAAGATGTCAACCTAGCATATTTAATGTATGAAAAACAGGAAAAATAAAGGAACGACATCACCTGAATCATTAAAGTATGAAAAGAATCTGAAATCCTTCACTTTATGCCTTCAATTCCGAATCCAAGTGATGTAGTCTTGTTCTTCAATGTATATCCCGCTCTGTTTTCCTCTTTGTCGGTTTCCAATATGATAAAAATTAGGTTCCCCGTGTTTTTGTCGACTTTTGGTATAAAAATTGTGCAAAGAATTGTAAACCAAAACTTTCCAAAACAAAATAAGGAAACAGAATTTTTTTGTCGAAATTGAACCAGGCATACGCATAGTACATTTTGGTGCGTACGCATAGTATCATTAATTTAGCTTTGGAAGTTCAATTTTCCAATCGTGCGTATGCACGACCTACAAGTCTATGCGTACGCACAGTTCAACTATTTTAGGGGGCCAATTTGCAATTTGGTCCCTAAACTTTCTGAAGTGTTTGGTCATTTTTCAAAATTTCTTGTCCCATTAGCTTCTCTTCAACTCCAATTGACTCTTGGTGTTCTCAACTCATCCTTCTTTGATCAAATTCAACTTTTGGATTATTGCATTCTAGTCCCCAAACTTTGCCTTGATGTAATTGAGTCGTTTTTCCTGCTTATTTTCTTTATTCTCGTATCTTCCATTGATTGTAACCTACACACAATATATAAATAGGATTAAGTCATATTCCATCAAATTTTTTAACAAATACTCAATTTTAATGGCCTAAATAAGTATATAAAATACACTTATCAATAGTACTGTTATCAATGATTTCGTCACACACATCATAAAAAAAAATGCATACATGGCAAGAAAAAAGAGGATGATCCTCCACTTAATTTTTTATAATTTATTTTCTTGAGACGTTATATCAATTGGATTTTGCTACATGTACAATTGGAATTGACAATCACGTATGAAAGGAAGTCCACGATGAATAAAAATTGTGGGCCTCATATGAGGAGGTTGTCAACTCCGATTATACCTCTTTCTCTACATCATCTCATGTACATGGGCGGCTGGGCCCCACAATTATTGTAATCCATAACCCAATTGGAGATGTTCTTTTATATATCCCATATTTTGCTTGCTATATTCACAACAATGTACAGTTATACATTGGCAATGCTCTGAAATAATTGCGTGTAAATTTTCAAGTTTTGTTAAGTAGGGTGATTCAACAAAATTAATATTTTCATTCCAAATTTACAGATTCAATCTAGGTTTAAACATGAATTTATTTTTGATTTAAGAAAATAAGGACACTTGGATAGTCATTTGTACAATGTATCAGAGCTTGAGTTTATATATTTACGAAGCTGCAATAGAATTAAATCAAAATTCTCAATGTAACAATCCATGAATTGCCTTAGAGATGATGTAAGTTTGGTCTAATTTTATAATCCAAAATTTTTCGTTTTCTGAGAAGAGTGATTATTGTGACCACAAATTATTTAATAAATATTTCAAAGAAAAAATTCTATTTACTAGCAACACATTTCTATTTTTTACCTAAAATAATTATTTTTAGTTTGTCATACACCGCAACACGTTCATATTTCATGTTATTCACCTTGTTAATTCTACATCAAATTTTGATTTGAAACTGGATTTTTTTATTAGTTTTAGATTGCAGTTGTGGCTAAAGATGAATCTGAATTATAGCCCCCGTTTGTTTTCCATTATTTGCTCATTAAAATGAAAAATATGATCGTTATTCATCACATCAAGTCACTATATTTGACTTTCTATCTCTTCTGTGGAATCCGTAATAATTATATTTTTCATTCTCATTTTTACATTAATGTTTATCAAACGGGGCTATAATGTAGGTGCAAAAAATTACTTTTCAGAAATATTTATCAAAGAAACACGAAATATGTGGTACTTTTCTATAATAAAAATTTAAATACAACGTATTCTCAATCTTACCCGAAAAATTAAGCATTTTTAAAAATCCCTCAAGAAATCAAATGCAGGTATTTTGATATTCTTTTGTTCCACTCTTCTGCAAAACTGAGCGAGAGAGATTCGATGGCGATCCAAAAGATCCACAGGGCAAAATCAACAAAACCCAGATCTCCAATACTTATACTCTTAGCCTCCGTCGCTTGCATTGCGGTATTGTACCTTGCTTCGTCAGTAGTTTCCACAATTGGATTCTCTTTTTCCTCTCCAAGAAGCCTAAAGAACTTGGTAAAGAACCCAAAGAATCATCGAATTGGGCACGAGAAATACTTATACTGGGGGAACAAAATTGACTGCCCTGGAAAACACTGTGAGTCCTGCGAGGGTCTGGGCCACCAAGAGTCCAGCCTTAGGTGTGCCCTTGAAGAGGCTTTGTTTCTTCAGAGGTAGATATTTTAAATCTTGAATCTTTCTATGGATTAAATTTTGGATCGTGATTTTTTTCCTACTTTTTTCTTTTGGAAAATCTGATTTACCACGCAATGATAGCTAATCTGAGAGCACCAATCTTGGAATTTTAACTGTTTTGTTTGAGCGTTAGATGGATTGGATTGCTCGTTTGAGATTTTTATCCTGTGATACAATGTTTATACGTCTGGATTGTTGAGGTAATGAGAATCTTTTGAACAGCTAGATTGATAATTGAATCAACACGTAGTGATGTCCATACAAAATTTGGAAATTGTTAGTTTGTATAATATAACTTGTTTGTTTTTAGAAGGTGGTTTTTAGATTCAAAATTTACAGCTGGCGTGTACATGTTTTGCAATATGGATGGACACGAAGAAGAATGCAGGCAGTGGGAAATGCAAAAGAGAAGGGCAAAGATTGCTGATCAAGTTATGTAGATTCAACTACAAATCTGTTGAATGAAGGAATATTTTTTCTCATAGTAGTGATGCAATAGATCTTCTGCTAATTCAATGAAAAGAATCTACATTTCAGATTGAATTTTCCGAAGGATCACTTATAATTTAGGAAACTGGTTACACACATTAAAGAAAAAATGAATCTTGTACTGGTTACTTTTTCTGAGCAATTCGGTAATGAGATCTGTTCCTAGAGCAATATGAAAGTGCATACGGATACACCTTAAGATCATAAACCATCACATGTCTCATAAATGCCCTTGAGTTTTATGCTTCATAATTGTTTTGGTTTCCCCTTTTGCAGTCTCAACTTGCTCATTATTTTTTTTAACGTAATAATCATTCACAAGAAGTCTATCTCTATGTGGTTTCGGATTAGAAATGGTGATTTCTTCTGGTAGTTGGTAAATGAATGAATGTTTATCTTCATTTTTTATAAGTAACGTATTTACTTTTAGATTGTTGAGGTAATGAGAATCTTTTGAACAACTTGATTTATACTTGAATCAACTCTTAGTAACGCCCATACAAAATTTGGAAAGTGTTTGTTCGTATGGTATAAGTTGTTGATTTTTTAGGTAAATTTTCTTGCATTGTAGTGACTTTAGCTCTTCTGCTACTCCATTTAATGTAAAGAATCTGTACACAGATTCAATTTTTCGAAGGATAACTTATAATCTATGAAACAGGTCGCACCCCAAAAAAAAAAAAATGAAAAAAAATGAAAAAAAAAATTGCAATATTTGTTATGTAATTCATCTTGAGCTACTGATTAATAATAATCTTGTAGAGGTTACTTTTTTCCGGCAATTCAGTTAATGAGATCTGTTCTTGGAGCAGGATAAAAGTTCTTACAGATACACCTTAAGATCATAAGCCATCACTTGTATCATTAATGCCCTTTAGCATTATTATTTACTCGAGTCATATGTTGCCTAATTGTCTTAATGTCCCCTTTTGCAGTCTCAACATGTTCTTTATGTTTTTTTAAACATAAAATCATCCTTACACTTTCTCCTCTTGGTTATAGGACTTTTGTCATGCCTTCTAGGATGTGCATAAATCCAATACACAATAAGAAGGGGATTCTTCATTCATCTGAAAATATGATTTCAGAGGAAAGGTCAGTATTCACTTGGTTGCTCACTACAGAGAGTTTATTGTCTTCATGGCGTAAAATAATTCATAACAAAATCGTTGGTTGACATGAAAGTACCTGGTGTTATGAAATTATGTATTAGAATCTTGCTTTTGCATTTTTGGATCCATCATGTGGAAAAGAAGATAGGCATGCAAGTTTGATGTTTACCTTGTTACATAGCAAACTTCAAAACTACAGACATGAATATTATTTATGGAATTTAATAATACCATGCCGCCAAATGAAAGCGATCTAGGACATGTATAGTCTTTTTGAAAATTGAGCTTTTTGGTTACAACCCTAATAATTAGGAAGTCAAAAAGGAAGATTTATGTCTCATGGTTTCTACTCGTCATTTCAGTTTTCATCTAGTGCTTAGTTGAATATAGCTGCAAACCATTGTTGCTTACTCCCCTTTGTGAATGTTGAACGCTGCTTGTTAGGTGGGCAGCTAACTCATGCACTATGGATTCTTTGTATGATCTGGACCTAATATCCAACACGGTACCAGTAATTTTGGATAATTCAAAGCAGTGGCATCACGTCCTTTCAACCAGCATGAAATTGGGATCCAGAGGGGCAGCACACATACAAGGGGTCAGCCGGGATGATCTCAAAGAGAAGAGTTTGTACTCCAATATTTTGCTCATAAATCGAACTGCGAGCCCTCTATCATGGCAAGTGTACTATCTCTAAGTTATGGTTTCTCTACTTCTTTATCTTCTATTTCTGCCTCCTCCCCAAACTTCCCCCGGTCAACCCTGTAGTTAAAACTAGTTTAGAAGATTTAGATTGTGCATATTTATAGTATAGAAGCTTCTGGCGTATTAATCTGAAAATGTGATTTGACCAATTAACTTCATTTTTGGGTGCTGAGGTATTATCTTTTTTATGATGCTAAAATTTTGTTTACATTTCAGTGACATAATTTGTAATTATTTTGCCTGGTTATACATTTCAATATTGAAGTTTCTATGAAGTGTATAATCAATTTAAGGGCTTGTTTGAGCCACATCATTTTCAAAAAAATACATTCTTCAACAACGATTTGACATCATTTCAACCATATATTCTTTAATAAAATAATATTACACGTAAATCTAAAACTTTTCCTTATTTTTTAACCACACATTTCCCATTGATTTGACATGAACAATACATTTTTCTTCCTATAATGTGGCTCAAACATGGGCTAAGTTTTGAATCTTGATAGCTTTTGTGTAGGTATTAATCATGATAAACATCCAGGTTCATGGAGTGCAAGGATCGAAACAACCGTAGTTCTATCATGTTGCCTTATTCATTTCTTCCTTCAATGGCTACAAAGAAGCTACGAGATGCAGCAGAAAAGGTTAAGTATCTGTCTGTCAGTGACCATTGAGTTTAACTTTACTCTTTTTTTTTTTTTTTTTTGGGGGGCACAAACACTTCAATAAAGCGCAAAATTTAGATGAAGAAGAAATGAAAGGGCAACTTTAAGCTGGTGAGACATATAGTGAGGAAAGACCAATATTCGAAGCCTCTTGAACAGGGGATAAAAGAGAGGAAATATAAGGAAACAGGAAAACAAGTGTGAGAAAAAGTTTTATCAACCATAACTTCGACGAAGATAATTAAACGCCTGAGGAAAAGAATTAAAGGAATGAGTTCCTGGACATCATTCAGCTTCATGGTTCTATTGCATATGTTTGCTTTATCATCTAATTATTTTTCGTAAAGATGTAATTCCTGTGAAATGTGTTCTTTTCTGCTAAGCAATCAGTTATGAGAATTCATTTCTACAGATCAAGTCGCTTCTTGGTGATTATGATGCTATCCATGTTCGTCGAGGTGATAAATTGAAAACTAGGAAGGACAGATTTGGGGTTGGTCGGAGCTTACATCCTCATCTAGACAGGGATACACGGCCCGAGTTCATTCTTTGTAGAATCAAAAAATGGGTTCCCCCTGGACGAACTCTTTTTATTGCCTCCAATGAAAGGAAGCCGGGATTTTTTTCACCTCTGGCTGTTAGGTATGTCATTTTTCCATTTTTCTTGGATATTGGTGCTCTTGCTGTGTTTATGTTATAGTAAATTCTAATGTGTATTTGTGATGGAGGATTAGTTGATCGAATCAATTTTATTATGTTCCGGAATTGAAGAATATGTTCTCTTTTGCACTATAATTATTTTTTCTGTGAACTTTTCCATCTGCGGTCCTTTTAGTGCATTTTGCTATGCAGTAGGAGACATGATTGGACTGTATCATAAGATTTTAGCTTATTTTCCTAACTTAATACTGTCCAATCTACCTTGCTAAGCCCTTGTTTGATTCCTATTATTTTCAAAATATATTTTTTTCTCTTTTCTTTTCAACCAAACATTTTTCAATAAATAATATTACATGCAAACCCAAAACTTTTTCTTATTTTTTAACCACACATTCTCCATCAATCTATTATTCCAAAATGCATTATTAGCCAAAAATGGGGCTCAAACAGGAGCTAAACAGTAAACATGTATTTGAAAGCTGAGTTTTCTTGTTGGAAATTGTTAATTTCATTGACAGAGGAAACTATCTTCTTATTTACCGTTCGTTATCATTTTTGATGGATTGTGCTTTACATTCTTAGTCGTATGAATTTGTTGTCTTCTTTTTTTCCAGTTTCAGGTCAATAACAAATAAAGCCAATCTCATCATTTTTTAAGTTACTAAAGATTTGTGGTCATCTGATATATATGTTCTCTTCTTTTGACGACCATAGGCCTTAGCACATGCAAAACCTTTTGTAGATGTCGTCCTGAACCGGACACACTGATATTTAAGATCGTGTACGGTTATGGTGTTGCCAGTTGTTTCATTTGGAACCTATGTTTTTAAGATTTTTATCATACCGGCATCAAACTATTTTAAAATAAATAAATTTAATTTTACAAAAAATCCAGTGTCTCCTGGGAATTGTTTGTATTTCATTCGGGACTTGAAGTTTGTTTACCTGTAAGTAAATAAGTTCTAAAATAAATATATATATTTTTTTTTTATCAACTAATAATTTATTTGTTTTGACTGTAAGGAGTTACTTTCAATTTAACTGCTGCTTGAGTTCTATGATATATATCTCTTAGTTTGGTCTGTTCTTGGATACACACTATTCAACATCGTAGTTAGGTTCATCTTTTTTGCTGTGACGCTGTTTGCAGGTACAAATTAGCATATTCGTCGAATTATAGCGGTATTCTGGATCCATTAGTTGAGAACAATTATCAACTATTCATGGTAGAAAGACTTATAATGATGGGTTCCAAAACTTTTATTAGGACGTTTAAAGAAGACGATACAGGTCTCAGCCTCACTGATGATCCGAAAAAGAACACCAAGGCATGGCAGATACCCATTTATACCAAGGATGGAGAGGAATGTTGATCTTTATATTCTCTTAATACGGCCACTGCTTGTTTGCTATAGATAGGACTTGACAGTATCAATATACCTGATTTTGGCTTGGCTTGTTTTTCTTTTTTATTATTCTTATTACCGTCCAGTGCGATCTAATGCCCATCTCTCTTTGAGGGACGACTCCATCAAAAATGGAGATTCTCTGGTTTTTTTTGTCCTTTTTTTTTTTTTTTTTTATTCATGTGCAAGTGAGAGATGTTGGAACAATTCGATTTGTTGTATGTACATGTGGAATTTAATTCGGGAACTGTGTAACAGAAAAGTCCTTTTGAGTTTTCAATGAATTTGTTGCTAGTAGTGTAGAAAGATAATAGCAGAGTAAAGTTTTTTCAACCTGGATTGAGGCTTTCTTAGTGTAAAATATTTTTCCGGATAAAAGCATAAAGTGAACTTAAAGGTAAATTCTGCAAGCTTAGCCCAAAATTGTTACATTCACCAAGAACAATTTCCACTGATACAGCATAACTAGCAACCTTCTTGACATGATCACAGACCAACATACTGCCATAAAATAGAAGTGGAACATCGTCCGAAATAATTTACTTTTACAAGCGCAATACCGAAAGAAAACTTGCCAAAGTAGATTATAACGAGTACAAAAGTATCTAAAGAGAACATTTAAAGACCAAGTCCAACTGTTCGACCATCTCTCCGACGCAGTCCAGCAGTGTATTGCTTCTCCAAATCTAACTGAAGCTGCTCCTGCTGTTTCTCCGTATCTGGATTGTCTGGTTTGTGCTCGACTTTCACCACACCTTTCACGCCCTGCAATTGGCCATAGGTACAAAGGCAACCTCAGACTCTTAGTGTGTTAGTATGTGGGAAGAAATTTCTAATAACAATATACACTGTTTTCCACTCTGAGCATGTTTATGGCATGGTATTGGAAAGTACGTATATAATAGATGATAGCTGAACTTCATTTTCTTCTATCATCCTATTGAATACGTGTCAATCCAGCCTATCAAACATGCCAAAACATAATAACCAGTAAAAATACAAAAGGACTAGAATTTACCATGAGTTTGATGAATTTTTCTTGACGTTCACGATCACCAAATGTTGCCGTATCCCAGTGATGGACAGACTATATTGAGCATTGAACATAACATGAGCAGAAGATGGTGAATGTTGTCAAGCATTCCATTTCGGAAAATAATAATCTAGAAGTAGCTTGTGATAAGGTCAATATGATGTTGGTCCTAGAGCATGTTAGGCTAAGCTTAAAAACAACTAGAAGTTACTTTCAAGTATTTTTTTCCCCCAGCATGTTTGGATAAATTATAAGGAAAATAGTTACTCATTTTCAAAGCATCTCCCAGACTACTGTCAAATTTTTTACTTATAAGTGAACTTTTTAAGCTAAGCCAACATCCTCCTAGTTTCTTAACAAGGTACATGAAGTTTCCATAACACTTCCAAGCAGATTTCGGTGTAATAAAAGTATTACCTTTGTCTACTATTTGTTCAAATCAAAAATTGGAAATGGGAGAGGACGAAAGAAGAAAATATGAATGCAAGTAACCATGAAGATAAATAGCAAGTACCTCTACAGAAGTTGTGTTCTTCTTATTGCCCCACAATAGCTTCTTCTTTTGATCAGCAGACATATATCCAGTTCCAATTAGATTCCTATTAACTGCAAGTTATTCCAAAGAAAGAATCATTGGAAAAGATTTAAAGTGCACTGCATTTTAAGTATATAGGTACTTGGGGTATTTTCTTGACTGATCTTCTTCTCTCCAAACTGAGCACATTCAGAAAATGCAAACACCTAGCGTAAATATAGACAGCACTATTAAAATAAACTCAAATGCTGTACATTTCTCGTGGAATAAGTTAAACGAGCAAACAACAATAAACACAGTGAGAGAATCAATAAATGTTTACCTGATTCAGCAGCTTTCATAGCAGCGATTTTTGCAGCATCAATATCAGAATCTGTCACGTAGGCCTGCTTTGCACTCACCGTTTCACAAGTATCTTGAGTTTGCTTTGAGGTTGAAGACTGCTTTTCATCATCTGAGATTGCAGATTTAGAAATTGATTTTATGGGATTACAAAACCATAGATTGCCAATGGATAGTATACAAAAGAATTCATGTATTTCAATTCCAAAAATGAAAACTGAGCTCCAACAATGCCATGAATGGAGCCAACTTTCATGTTTTCGACAGCAGTAATCATCTTGTAGCTACTAGACATATTGAAGCTTACCATCTTTTGCAAGACCCAAGCTATATGTCTTCGGTTTCTTAGCAAGGGACTTTTCAACTTTGCTGGAGAAAGTCTTCCTGTCTTCAGATTTTCCTGCTGGTTCCCTGTAGTGTCGTTCCTTGTATCTATCCTGATCCTCGTGTATCTTCTTCTCCTCTTTGTTGTACTTCTCACCATCTAGTTCTTCAGTGTCTCTCTTAGCAGCTTCTTTCAGATGAAGCCCAGAACAGTCCCTTCGAGAAGATGAGTTATTTCTTAGACCCCTGAGATCTTCATAAGCAGGTGAACGATCATTTCTGAGGTCTCGTGAACTCCTTTGATGGTCAATCTTCCCATCTCTATCCCTCTTATGCCGGTTCCTGTCTCTGTCCCTGTCAAATAAGTCTTCCTCTTTATCCCTGCATCTATGCCCTGAACCATCAGATTTATATCGAGAGTATTTATCCGTGTCACATGGATAGTCTCTAGGTCGGTTCTTGTGTCTTGAGTAACTGGAACTGTGATGATCTCCCAAGTCCTGGCCACGACGAGATGACAGCTTAGAATAATCTCTATCATAATCATCTACATTCTTGTCAGTGTCACGTCTGTTATATTCATCATGCTCGTTATAATGATGGGAGCTCTTTGACATATAACGATCGAAATCTTTATATGATACACCGCTGTGGCTATACTGACCCCTGCCAGAATCCCTACCTAAGTCCCTATCATCACCCTTTCTTTGTTTATCACCAGAAAGCTTTTCAATATCCTTCCTTGATGGGATTGGACTAGAGCTGTGCTCAGAGCGAGGACTTCCTGGAATATAATAAGAAGCTATGCTAGCAAAAGAAGCAAGATATGGACAAACAAGTAATAGCATTTGGAACTGCAATTGAATTTGACAATAACACGGGACAAATAAAGAATCATTTTTCTAATAATCAAATGCAACGTGCAATCCTTTTTACAACAGCATTTCCATGATCAAGAAGAAACTAACTCTAAATCTGCAAGAGACTCCACATTATATTTCATAATAACATAGCTTCTCACAATAAAATTTTTTAATCTTGCAAATCCATCTAATTATTTACAAACACGTGAACATAAAATCCACCCACCCACATGCATGTACCATTGATGGAGAAGGAAACATTATCAATGACCAGAGCCATCTACTAATGTCAGTCACCATCACCCGGCAATGAAAAAAATTCATAAAAACCAAATATTATTCAGACGTCTCCCCATGACCGATCTTAGATTATAAACAGACAAATTCAAAACTAACCATCATATGAAGACGACCCAGTAACAGGAGACCGATGCCGGTACTTCCTGCTAGTTGTATCATTCGAAGGCTTCCGAAATTCTGCCTTTCCATCAACGTTCTCTCGCTGAGAATTCATACTACCTAATTAACACACCTGTA